GCGTGCTCTGATTATTTGTGGTTGGGGATTGCCCTGTTTTGGATTGGTCTATGTCGCAACTTCCTTTCTTTTCACAAGCTGGTCCCGAGTTTCCAGGATCGTTTGTCGGTCTCCTTTTAGGATGCGCCGGAGTACACGCAGCCCGTGCTGTACAAGCACATTGCCAAGCATCCGCGTACACACAGTGTCTTTGAACAGAGTCTTGGTGGAGAGTGGGGCTGCAGCTTGCTTTGCCTCAAGAAAGCTGTCTCCACTTTGAGCCAAAGTGCCGGTTGAGCTTCACATCTTTTACTGTTGCGTGGCAGCAACTATGCAATTGAGGAAGCTGTTGGCAGCTGGCTCTATGAGCCAAGCAGAAATGGACTCGGTCAAGTCAACTCTGTGGAAGGAACATGAAGAGGCGCTCAGCGTAGGGAGTTCAATCATGGCGGAAAGCGAATTGCAGTTTTGATCGAAACACAGATGAATCCATACTTTGTTAATAGTTTCTGGACAGTTCGATGGACAATTGAATCAGCCATTGAGTACAGAACAGATCCCAGCCTGTTTCAGGCTTTTGCGGCTGCTGATTCTTTTAAGCCCGACGAGGAGCATCATCTTGTGGGTTGGCAAGACAACATTTCAGTTTGGGCTGCATGCTGCCCCTTGCAGACAGGACCTGGGCAACTGGGTCGCCACCAAGTGGGAGGGCTTTGTGCGGCCAACCGATCAGGCTTCTTCACATCCGACAGGTGTGGATCTTGAGCTCCTCAGGAAGATTGGTGCACGACTGTGTGAGGTGCCAGAAGGCTTCTTGGCGAGCCAGCATAGATCTCCGCACTCACATTTGAAGCAGATACGACATAAGCTTGGGCATATGCGGTCTGGTTGTGCTCAGAGATCTTGTTCGATGAGCGTCAGCCACTGTGTCCCAGGCTTTAAGCTGCACAATGGTCTCAAGCGCCAGCTGAAGAAAAAGCAAGAGGACTTTAGAAACATGAGGGTGCTAGAAGTTTGAATCACAGAATGAGCCAGTGCCACGACGCCTCCACTTCGGAGAAATGGCGGCAGGACGTGGAAGCTGGTGAAGCCATCGACTGGGCGACTGCCGAGGCAATGAGTTTTGCCTCGCTACTTCTGGAGGGGAACCACGTGCGGATCACAGGCTCCTTGGAGCGTTGGCAGTGACTGACCAAGAAAATTGTAGACTGAAAAGCTGCGGTGAAACAAAGGACAAGATGTTCAGCGTGGCACCTTTGCTCACCGCCATTGCGTGGTGAAAGACCAGAGCACCGGTGATGACTATTGCATCTTGGCTGCCACGAAGCCATACCTCATTTGCTGCAGAAGAGACAGCGATGATCAGCGTCAACACAAGCTGGACATATGTTATTTGTCGCATTTCTGCTCCGTAATATGTTTTGTTTGACAAGTAAACACAAGACACTGTCGCTGAGGCTTCCTGAACAATTTGGATTTGGGACCGCAGGACACGATGATATCCCGGTGATTGAGGCTTTTGCCAACAGTCCCCAGCGACTCTGCAATGATATCCAGTTTGGCTTGCGAGCCAGCACCAAGTTGGTTAGGATTTGTCTCGACTTCCATGCGGATCATTCAATTGTCATTTGTGATGCATGTTATCACGCTGCTCGCACTGCTCACTGAGAGGAGACGTTCATTGCTCGCAACTCGATTCTTTCAGAGTATGGAGTTCTTGGCTTTGAACTTGGATACAGCTATGAGAATCCTCGTGCTCTGGTGACTTGCATTGGACGTATGGCCATTTCCGCCTCGACGATGAAGCATGTACTGTCCAGTTAAGACACAATGAAGCAGAGGTGATTTGGGAAGCGCAATTCGGCGACTTTGTCAACACCGCACAGGTCATGATTGATCAGCTGCTGACTTACATGTCTGAGTGATCCGAAGCATGCGTTGTTGACACAATGTGAGGGAGCACGGATGCATGCCACACTTTACCAAGGTTTGTTTCCGCAGGGGAGCACAAGTGGCTACAACAAACTGGCCTGGTCATGCTGTTGCCCCATGGTTACATGGGAGCAGGCCTTAGACAACTTGATCAACAATATTTTCACTGAGCTGCTGTGACACTCAGGGTAAAAGACTTACTTGGATTGTTGTGACTGCGCAAAATCAGAGCTGACACAAGGGCTGGATGCGCCTTGTAGTTCTGTCCCTGACTAAGGGCAGGGTGCTGAGCACTCTTCCTGCCGTCTGGAGCGATTCCTGCAGCTGAGCAGCTGCCTGAGGAAATGTGTCGACATATTCACGCTTGAACCAGGTTGCACATTCTCCCATCAATGTGTTCTCTGTACCCAGGTGACGATGATGAGGATGACATCCCCGCCTTCGAAAACGACTTTGGGCGGAATCAGGTTCAGAAGGCGAATTGGCAGGCTCGCCACTTGCTAGCTTGGAGCTCGACAGTTTCATGGTGCCAAAAGAAGTGGTACACACTGTTGAATTCATCCGGTCGAACTCCTTGTTGAAACCATCCTTACAACAGATAGCAATTTTGGCGCCAGGTCATGAACATCTCAACGCCGGCCAATTACTTCCATGCTTTGCGCCGACAACAACATCGAGACTTTAGGAAGCCCATGGTCGTGGCATCTCCAAAGAATCTGTTCCGTTTGCGCCAGTGCCTTGCGGCACCAGAATAGTACGGAAGATGTTGTCTTCTTTGCAGACTTGCATGATGCATGTGCTGAATTGTTCAACCCAGGGACCCACGCCTAGGTGTGTCAGTCCCTTGGAGGAAATGGGCCCCAGCTTTCGCTTCAAGCGACTGATTCCAGAGAGGGATCCGAAGATTGTGGAGAATGCCGAGAAGGAGGGGAGATCTTAAGCCGCGACGTGGACACAGCTTTTCTGCCTTGGCAAAGCTGGCCTCGCAAGTCCCAACACCCACCAGACACCACCTCACCTTACGCTTACAGTAATCAGGCACGAAACAATCCAATCCTGTATGCAACATAGACACAGCTTAATAGGCAGCACTTCCATCGCCTCACCGGGCATGCTTTGGTTTCATTGAAAAAACACTACGTTGGTTCAACACCTTGAGCAGCCCTCATGCAATTGCTCACTTCTTGGATTTCAGTTCCACTATAATCTTACTGTCTAAACTGCCAACAGGCCCTTCCCATGCGCCTCCCCTTTCCAGGCGGCGGATGTTTCAATTTAGACGGACGCTGGCCCCATACAGGTGGAGCGACTGGTCTTTTGCTCTGGCAAGCTTTACTACGAGCTGGTTGCTGAGCGCGAGCGGTCCCTCAGCAGCAAACTAGCGACCTGGCCTTCCAATTTTCACATATTGAGCACGGCTCAAGGCTTGGTCTTGACAATGTGGCGATCGTGACGCTGGAGCAGATTGCTCCCTTTCCTTTCGATCGCGTCAAGGCCTGCACGCCCAAGAGCTGACTAGGTTAGATCCCAGAATGTTGCGCGATAGGCAATGATGGAGATGTACCCCAACGTTGACATTGGAGATGGAATTCATCCTGGCAATGCTTCCAAGCTTAAGCAGCTTCAGCGTCCCGTGTGCCTAGTAGTCCTTGATGGCAGCTGCTTACCCTCAGGTGATCTGGTGTCAGGAGGAGCCAAAGAACATGGGCGCTTGGTCCTATGTCCAATCCTCAGCCTGCTTGGTTTGTGCAGATCTGGATTGTGATATTTCAACCAGCATACGGGGCACATGCACAAAGCTATGCCTTTGTGCTAAATCAATTGAAAGCGGACAAGCAGACAAACCTAGATTGCTTGTCTGAGCCTACAATACCTATTGGCATGGTGGCACTGCCCGCACACCACATTGAGGTGCGACCAAGATTTGTGACAACGGCGAGAGAGGGGCTTGAGAAAGACATGGTAGTTCGCAAGATGCTCAGAGAGGAAAAGGTCTCTGCACGATGTAGGTCCACAGTCTGTATACGTACTTGCTGCGAGTTTATTCTTTTTGTGTAAGGCTATGTGGGACGGCGTGCCAGTGCTTCACCCGCAACGGGCTACCCGAAGTTGCACAATGCAGAGCAAGAAGCCCTCGTGAAGGCACTGCAGCTGAATGATTTTGTGGCAGACTGGAACTTTGGATTTTCATGCAGTGGATGGACCATGCTTTGCAGGAGGCCTTGGTCGGTCATGATGATGATGGCTGGACGGTGCAGCGACCATCCTCTCTTCTGGGCCATCAAACCTAGGTCAGGGCGTCAGATCGCATTGCACCCTGCTATTTCTCGGTGACTTCCTGTCTTTGCAGCGATGCTGGTCACGAAGAATAGGCCCAGTGGCAGGCATTTGAACAACAGTGGCATGATAATCCATCGGTTTGTTGTAGCACTGCTTGCAGTATGCAGACCTCATTTGTCCAACGCACCTTGACATTCGGTCACCCACAATTCCCAGCTGCTTCAACAAATTTCCTTTACCAGTGATTCGATCCAGACATTTTGTTGTCTTCTTGTTCACTCCTTTTCAATCGCAATTCTCCACACCAATACACACCCAAGGATAATCAAGAAGGGGGTAGGACTCTTTGAACGGCTCTGTAAATTAGGCGTGATGATCGGGTATGATAGGCGAATTGCAACAAGCTGCTGGTCCCGGTGTTGAAAAGACAGCCAGTTCCGGTTTTGTAGCTACGCCAGGCTGACGCGCCGTTTCACTGGAGTGAGTGTACATTGCTATAAGTGTCGGGAGCTCGCGTGACTCGCGACAGCTCCCGAGTTAATGCAAGAAGAGGCCCTTGCAGTCACTATGCTGATGGCTTCCAAGCCCACGTTCTTCAAGATGCGATTCTGAAGCTTCAGACCGCTTGGCAAGTGGACATCGTTTGTTGAGTGATTGGGGTCTGGGGTGTTGCATCCTGACGCATAGCAGTGCGTGCATCGTTTGAAAACCAATAGATGTGTTTCAGCGAAAAAATAGATGCAGAAAGAGAAGCAGATTGAAGAGAAGCATCGATGCCCTTGAACTTGTGTGGACCTTGGGCTCGACAGGTACCGGCCATGCACCTTCAGCCGAAATGCGTCTCTCAACGCTGCGCCTACAGTCGCACGCGCTGTGAGCTTTGCCAGCCCATCACTTGCCCTCACACGCACACACAAAAGCAGAAGCACACTCTATGCAGTAGGTCATGATGTTTCAGCTGAGAGCATGTCAGTTCCGAGGCTGCCAGACTTCTGAAGCGTCAGGCCGTCCATGGATGTGACCACATTCCGAGCAGTTGTCGAGATTGATAGGCTGGCATTGCTTTGCTTTGAGTTGCAGGCCAGCGTGCTTCATCGCTCACACGGCGGGATCTCAAGTACATGCTTTATCTCACTCACTGACTCACAGGGATCGAGTCCGACAGATGTCAGAAGAGGACATGTGGAATTGGCCAGGTCTTGTCCTGCACAAGTTACACCTGCACAGACCTTGCAGGCTCACTGAGGTTCTAGTTAGATGCTGTTCCAGCTGCATGCCATATAAATGAGTACACCAACACCACATTAGACACAGAAGCTGGGCAGAATGGGATGGGGAAGTATATCCTTGCCAGGCCAATGCCAAGCGAAAGAGCTCGAAGCAAAATTCAAGCGCCTTTGGCGGTGCGCTGAGGCGACGAATGATGCCAGCAAGTTGCTTCCAACATGAGATCCCCTTCTCCATCCAGCTGTCATGAGTATGATCCATTGCAAATACGAGCTAACAGTGCTTCAAGGAACCGTATGCCAATACAGTGTGTGCTTGTCACCCTTTGTGACAGGATACGAAGACAACCAACAGCTGAGTGGATTTGTTTGGGGCGGCCGTGACTGGAATTTCTTTCGAGCATGCAGGCCATACCATGCCGACTGGGTCCTACCAGCACATGAGGCAGGGCTGGGCTGGGTCTTTGTGAAGCGGAGTCGTCCTGCTTGTACCAAGTGTATAACAGGAGCAATGGCATTCAATTTCTACATCGGCATGTTGCAGTGCGCACTCAAAGGCTCAAGGACATGCAGTTTGATGTTGCTCCCACGGCTTCAAGTGTGACTGCTTCGATAGGCAGCTTGGAAGGCAGCTTCTTCGAACAGTAGCGGTCAACTCTTCCCTGTGGACGGATCGGTTGATTCAGCCATGGTCCTGCAGAGAGTGCTGCTGCTTGTTTGCCTGGGCTTGGCTGCGGGTGAGAGCAAGGCGAATGTGAAGCCGTTCGAAGCTAGGTTGCATTTGCCTGCGTAGGTCCGTAGGTTGTCCGTCATGTGATGATCGCCTGGTGGAGTCTTTGACTTCTGTGCTCATCCTCAGGACAACTCGGACATTCCCAGCTGGATTCCAGGATGCCCTGGTATTGACCAGGGCACAATTTACTTCACCTATGCGAAGGATTGTCTGAAACACCGGCACATTTTGACAACTAGGACTGTTTTTCTGCGACCTCAATAATCAATGACCCCCGGACTTTCAGTGAAGCTGTGTCATCTCTTGTGCACTGCTGGCTGCAGCGATGGTTGCCCTGCACAGGACTCCATGGAAGTTATCCTCCTTCTGCTGTTTGGATGGTTCCTTGGCGTATCAAGTTGCCATGCTTGACTTGCGCGGCTTTGCTTGCGGGACTCGTGACTCTTTCATGACCGGCGCGGCACCAACGGGCAGACCTTGACCTGGCAAGCCCCAGGTTCTACAAGCAGCGCATCACAGCCAAGCGGCCCCCACTCCCACCTTGCGTTGCGCAAGAAGGTTTTTCAGCCGGAGTTTGCGGTTGCTCCATGATTGCATCCAGTGGTGGGCTTTGGCATTTGTTTCTTTGCCCTTCTCAGTATGACCTGGATAACTAGCCTCCCTTGTCGCTTGTTGACGTTCATGTGGCTCGTGTCGGCATTCGCCACAAGTCAGCATCCTGTTTTGCTCTTTTGCCTTACTCGTTGCTACCACACCGAAGATCAGATGTCTCCAGAACTACAGTAATTTTGGGACCGGCTCTTGAAGACAGATGCTGCATCTCGAGCTCCTCCTCATGCCAAGCAGCACAAGCCCCAGGGCAAGCCCGATCTACGCCATTGATAATTATTCTCGCTGAAATGGAGATTCGCATAGAAATGAGCCCTGCTCTGAGAGACAGGTTTCAGGCAACTTCACAAAGGTAGCCCGCATATTGTGACTCCTTTTCTGGTAGTTCTGTGGACCTTGATCTCCCCAGCAAGAGCCTTCGAGCCTTCGCTAGCATTGTTTATACTTTCCTGGTGTTTTTGTCTCGCACCTCCAATCCTTGTAATGCAAGTAGCATCTTTGCAGCATTCCCTTTCTTTGGCAAGGTGCCAGCTGGCCATGTACTTTTCTATGGTCGCTCCTTCTGCAGCAAACTCGTATGGGAGACACTTACGAGGCGGGGATTGATAAATTGATTGCAGCGGCCTGCACGTGTCCAGCGACTGCAAGCCACACTTGAGACATTGACATGTTGATAGTTGTTGCCTCAGAGCATGAAGAGAACGACCTGCAGACTCTTCAGTCTGTCGATGACCACACTCAATGATGTTTGATCTTACAGGTATGTGGATTGAACTTCCCCAACAGATGTCACAGACAATTTCCAGCATTGTTGCAGCATCTTGATCACACGCATCAGGATTTGGCAGCAATGCAGGCTAGACCTCTGAATCAATCATGGACGTAACATGAAACACACACAATTGGAAGGAGAGACGAAAGGAGAGGGCCCAGGGTTTGCTATGTGCAAGGCTGCAGCGGTGACGAGCTTCTGGGCACCAACAGCTGTCTTCGCTGCATCGCGGATCATTGCTAACCTCATGGGCTTGGTGCCAGGCCGGAGATTTAGAGAAAGCCTCCGGTGCATCAGCGCATCAGCATAAACAGCGGGCTTTCCCAAATCAAGTCAAAGCATACAGTAAATCAAGGTTTTGTGTGATGGTGTCTTGACAATGGACAGGCATGCCAGCTGGACTCCCCACCCTCTCCATGCTCTTCTTCCAAGCCGTGTTTTATGTGTCTTGGTCAAATTCAAGGGCTTCGCCCCCACACCTGCGCTGGCAAGATTTTTCTTCCTGAGGGCATTCCAGGCCTGGCTGCTTGAAGCTCCAGCCCAGGGCGGCAAGCGTGTGCGTCAGACCCGACAATCGTTTGGCAAAGCTCGCTCAAAACAGGCATCGTCAACACGCTTCGAGTGAGGATGCTTTGGTGAACGAAAATAGTTTGCAAAGGAGCAGCATGAAAACTAGGACATGCACGTGCGAGTACATGCACGGAGGGCCAGCAAATTCAACAGCTTGCTAGTCCATCGTGACACATGCCACACCTTTTACCTGAGAGGCCTCTGACCAAAGACATGTGTCGGACATGCCAGGCATTGACCCCTTACCTCAAACAGGAGATGGAGCTTGGTTTTTCGAGTGGCAACGCCCCAACCTGGGCATTGCAATTGCTATCGCTTTGAAGGTTTGGCAAGGCTCGACCAGCACGGTGTAGCAATTCGCCAGCTAGCTCATAGACCACAGCCAGGAAATCCACGTTTAGCCAATCCATTGACCAAAGACCAGCTGGTAAACTTGGGGCCCAGTCCTAAACGACCTGCCAGATGAGTCCCGAATCCAGCGATGAAAGTTCCTGGGAGGCTAAATGGCAGGGAGGTTCGGCCGATAGTTGTTTTGGCAAGCTGATTCGCTCGCTCAGCGCAACGTCCTTCGCTGGACAGAGACAGATGTGTGAAGAGAATGCAATGCAAAGGCGCGACATACTGTGTGTTTCCTTTCATTGAGTACATTTGCCGACTTCAATTGATTGCTATGCTGAGGCGCACTGGCGAAGAGCCCTGCGCAGGCAGCTGGCCCAGACAGAGACCAGCAGCTGTGACTTCCTGCTCTACAGCCTTTGCTCTCCGTGCATGGCGACGCAGGAGTCAAGCGATTCAATCTTGCGTCATCTCATGCGCTGGCTTCCCACCCCAGGAAGCAGCAGAGGTAGATAATCTGAGCGGTGTGCGAGTTGGGTGCCTGACAATAGAGATTGTCGGGCAGCCCCTATTGGTGCAGTGAGGGGTAGCGAGCATGAAGACTGGGAGAGAGCAGCGCAACAGTCCAAAGGATCTAGGCTGCTGCAATGCTGCTCCTGCTTGACACAGTTTCACATGTCGGGCCCGAGTTGCACAATCAGTGTGTAGATGAAGACAAGTGTACTCTCAGCGTATTTGGGGCGATCGCTTGCTCAATCTGTGTTAGCTTGGCAAATCTTGAGAATTGAAAGCTGTGCATACTTTGGAGCGAGATTGGGCATCTGCCTTGACTGCATGGATTTGCTTGAGGCTAGGTGCCACGACCTGTTTGCGCTGTGGAAAACACGTGCAGCTTTCAAAGATGCGCAGCTTGATGTTTTTATGATTGGAACACCGGCACATGATTGAACATTTTCCGTGACCAGGAAAAAAACGCTTCGCAAAAGCAAGAAGGCACAGGACTCTGTGCAGAGAATTGGTACGTCATGCATCTCCTTGTTTTGGTGGTGGTTCTTGCAGGGGAAGATGCGTGTTTGGCAATGGTTCCGGCAGCAATTGTCTTCCGGTGTCTCGCTGCTTGTATAGTTGAGTACTACAGACTTCATTGCCGAGAGTTTGCAAGGTAAGACCAGCTCATTCTCAACCCCCAAGCTCTCTAATGGGCAGTGATGTAGTTCGATTTTGGGTACTTGAGACTTGAGCATTGTATTTTGTTTCGGGAAACCTCCCCGGGCACCAATTTGTACTGGAACGCTGCTCCGTCGAGCTGCTGAGTCGGCAAAACTGAGTGCCAACATTTGCTAACTGCAGATGGATTTTGGGATGGACATGGGTTGACCGGGTAAACTTTTTAGACATTGATTGAGTGCTTGCTTTCGTATCATGAACGTGTGCACATACAGGGCCCAGACGAATTGTGCCTTTAGAATGGTGCGGATGTGAAGGGCTCACGGTTGCCGGTTTCCCGAAGCAGAGGCAAGCCTTTGGCAAGGCAAGTGCATTGTTCAACGGCCTTTCGGAAGGTGCCTTCTTGCTGTCCAGCTGCTTGAAGCCAGCTTCAGGGCTGCAGCTACGGCGGGCCTTGCGTCACTGTGGAATGTTTGCCAGGCAGAGGTCATTCGAATACTTTGGACAGGTGTGACGAGGATCCGCTCGGCGCCCATGTCGGAAGGCTGCAACTCGGCAACTTCTGGCAATGTTTGAGGCCTGCAACTGGCAATGCCGTTGCCTGGGTGGACACGGAGCTGTGCTCCCATGACTCCCACTCATTCACCCAGGGGCGCTGGATTTAGCACGACAAAGCCATGCAAACCGAACAGATTAACATTCCCAAGGTGGAACCATACCTCAGTGATTGGAGTCCCGATCCGGGGACCAGTGATTCGCAAGATTTGTCCGTGCGTTTTGTGGTAATTTGGAAGTTGGGATTCGGGATTTGCGACGATGATCTGTGATTCGTGCCTTGCAAATCAAGGTCCACGATCCGTGCTTCGCAATTCGGTGATTTGTGCCTTTGTGATTTGCCATCTATCATTCGGTTTCATTGTGATGCCTGATCCGGGACCAGTAGTCGCGTTTTCGTGTTGCATGGTTGGCAGAAAATATTCTGAAGTGTTAGTTGGACAGCTGAGCAATGATGTGTATAGTATTCAGTGTGGTCGGGTCTAAGGTTCGGTTTTTCCCGGGTAAACACTGGGTGGTTTATTTGGAGAATTCGCCAACACAGCTTGAACACCCAAACATCGTGTGGGCCAGGCAAGCAAATGCAACTGCAGTTCATCCACTAGCAACTTTGCAAGCCATGATTCGCGACTTGTGATCCGTACAGCGTGCTTCGTGGTCCGTGAGTCAGGGTGGCGACCGCTCCATGTAACTGGTGTTTTGTGATCCATGATCAATTAGTGATTCTCGGCAATTCTCGGTCTCTCATTCGTTCCGGGTTCAGATTCATGATCTCTGTTGAAGGACTTGTGACCCAGAATCTACTTTCCAGTATTCCTGGCTCCTGATTCGTGCTGATTAAAGAGATTTTGATTTTGGTTTCGCGCTCCATGCCTCCCCTGCACCTTCAACTGCGCTCAAAGTAAAAATGGTTGGTGGCTGAATTCGCGATCCATGATTCTCAGAGGTACTCCTCAATTCGGTCCTGGGTTCGACAAGAGCAAGAGCATGGCCCTCAGTTAACACACATTGATGAGCAACAGCTTTTGTTGTTGAATGTCTTAATCAGCTCCAGCCAACTTCACTCGATGCAGACATTGCTTGGCATCCAGGGGCACTCACGGAAACAGTTCTGGACCAGAACATTCCCATGAGTAGTCAAGCTGAAAGAGAATCACAACAGGGTGGAGGGGATGCAGGGTCAGTGCAGAGGAATATGCTCAGAATCCGAGACGAGGAAAGTGGTTTGCGTATGTCGCACTATTTGTGTAAGTAGTGCAAGCAGCAGATCGAAATTGTGCGAGGGTATGAGGACTTTGACCCTATGATGGAGTAGTTGATACCATGTCATTCTTGGGTAGTATTGGCATGATCATCGATGCAGTGTCACTTTGTATTTCCACCTTATCTCGATGGCATTTGTGACTGCTCGATCTTGCAAGGCAAGCCATTGGCAAGGAGATGGGCCACTGCAAGATGCCATTGCAGCTGTAGATCTAACTCTAACAGGTGCTTCCAACTTCTTTCGGGGTCGGGTGCAGGACATGGCTGTTTTTTGGTGCCATCAAATGTTGCTGTTCCGCGGGATCAGAGATGCCTCACCTCAAAGACGAGTGTGATATGCAATTTGGTGTTTCGCGAGGAGTCGGATGCGGGGTCAAGAGCCCAGGCACTGCAAACGCCGTGCGTTTGTTCGGAGCGCACAGCAAAGGGCTCAAAGATTCATGAGTTGCAGGCCTAGTTTGAGTAGCTTGGACACGTCGAACGTATTTTTAATCTTTACTGCTCTTCTGCAACGCATGCCGTTTGTGCGGAGGCTTGGGGACAGGCTCGCACTAGGCGCCTGCAGCGCTGGCGTGTTGCAGCAGTCTTGTCAAGAGCATTGTCAGTATCACTGGTCCGCACTCGAAACGATTAACTGTTGGACTCAGCACAACTCTTTGTTTTCCTCGCTACCACAACCATTCGTTTGGGGAAAGGGTCAAGAGCAAGGGAGAGAGAGATAGAGAAAGGCCCTGGGGGTATATTTGTCGCAGTGGTAGTGGTGGGTGATGTATGTAACCCTGTCTGTGATGCACGAATCATCCACATGGCACAATTCGTCAGTGCTGGGTCCTCAGGCCGCAGAATTCTTCTGTGGATATGTCTCAGCCATTCTCTCAGGCACGAGCCGAGATAGCTGAGCGTTGCTGTAGCCATGTTTTGTAATATTCTGCTGTTTCGCTCTTCGGAGTTTGCTGTATTTTTTCATTTTTCAAATTGCATTGTTCGGCTCGGTGCTTTTTTGTTCGTTTGTTTCTTTTCATTGCCCTTCTTTCTTTCTTTCTTTCTTTCTTTCTTTCTTTCTGTCTTTTTACCTTCCTGCTTCAGTCTTGCTTCTTTTTTAGCACTTTCTTCTTTGCAACCATTCTCCAGAAAGCTGAAAGCTGTAAGAGTTCTGACTTCAAGTGCAGAAGGGGGGTCACACACATCATGTTGCCAGGGTGCTGTTGCACGGTGCTGTTGCAGGTGCTAGGCCGCTGATGTAGGTGTTTGTTGGAATGTGCTGCATGGGAGTTTGATTGTGATTGGAGGGTGCTGGTCCTGGCTTGTCACGGTTGCCAAGGGACCTGCAAACACCTTGGAAAGAAAGTACGTGCTTTGTCATAGTCATGGTGTCATACCATGTTAAGCGCATTCCTTTGTGTTTCTGTGGCCACTCCGCCAGCGCCTTTCCGGATCCTCAATGTCAAGCGCTTGGGATTGCACGGCGCCAAGTTGACATGTGCGCCTCGTTTTACATGTGTTTGGGTGCGTGCGGCCTTGACTTGTCACTCTCACGCCGCTTAGGCGGAGACGCAGATGCGTCGACCGACGTCGAGGTGCCACTGCGAAGTGTGTGGCTGATTTTTTGGCTTGCTTGCTTTGTCCTTCTTTGCTAGAGATGTATGTGCGCAGGGTTGAAGTTTCCTTGGTAGCAGCTAATCATGATGGCATTCAAGTGCAACTTTGTTCTGCAGGGCGATTGGCGGTCTTTGCCACCATCAGGATCAATTCACGCTGCAGGCTCCTTGATCGTTTTTGCAGGGCGGGTGATGCAACTTGAGACAGGAAGCTCGAAGCTCAACATTCAAGTGAACTTTGGATTGACAGCAGTGTCTAGTCACTGAACGGCAAGCAGCTCCGTGTTAACCGCGCTGAGTGTGTCACAGGCTTCGCCAAGTTTGCATGTAGATCGGCGATTGTTTGACAAAATACTGTATTGTTTGTCACAAGATCTTGATGCCTTCAGTGAGAAGTGGGGCATCAAGGATGCACACAGATACAATGCTGGCGTGGCAAGCATACATGACAACGGCCCTATTTTCTTTGTCAGAGACAGATACATATGTACTTGCGGCAGTTCAACAATGAACTGTGAAAGACTTCATGACGGCAACTGTGTGGATTTGCTTTCAGCTTCATCACAGTTTTGTCATTTGCTCAAGATCTTGCAGTCCAGGCTGCGCTGCGGCGTCTGCTACAAAGGCAAAGGCATTTGCGCCGGGACCTGCCGGATGACGCTGCGCTCTTATCACTCATTGTCACATTGCAGTCTCAGTTTTTACCAACAAATGCATACAGGTTTAGCTTGATCTTGTTCAGGTGAGAATCATCACGCATTCCCTTGAGCCAGCATTGCCCAACTTGAGCTCTCCTCAAGTGATCGGCAAGAGTGAAAGGGACGTTCATTTGTGCCAAGAGATGCACAACAGCTATGCGCGTGGGGAGAGACCTACCTGCATAGGAGCCCTTGCCATCATGCCATGGACTCTGACCAGGCAGAGGTGACAACCATCTCTGCCACAGGGGATCGCTAGCTTTTTTTTCGTCTTTTTTCGAGAGCTTGTGTTTTCTTCATCTAGTGAAAACATTGAACAAAGACAAAGCTGGCCTTGGCAACGTATGCTGGCATGTGTCCCTGAAGGGGACTCGAGCCGTTGGATTATTTAATCATACGCTGGGGAGACTGTCACTCTTTCCAGTCTCTATTGGTGGCATGCACTGTTTGGCAAACGTGCCAGAATTGGGATTGTAATGTCGGATCGTAATTCCTACTGGATGCATGAGGCTTGCAACGTGCAGAGGCCAATGCTTCTGCAGCTGCACGGTTGCGAGCAAACCTACAGCGCTTCGTGCGACTCCCGAGAAGGGGCACCTTCAAGGCCTTTCCAACTGCATGTGAGAGACTTGTTGGAGGCGTAGCACATCAACAGATGTTCCTACTTTTGGGTGAGAGGCACTCCGAAACAGTCGGCAGGTAGGAGCAAAAACGGTCAGCTAGAGCTGAGCTGGCAGGACGGAGTTCTGGATGAGTGCTGCTGCCTAGCTTGCATAAACCTTGCTTGTCGCTTTTTGCTGTTGTTTGTTGGTTGGATTTTTACAGTTGTTTGTTGGTTGGATGGCCTGCTGGCTTGTCTGTCGAGCGGGCATGTACAGAGTGCAGTTATGAGAAGGGCAACCTATCCTATAGCATTGCGACTGCCGGAGATGCAGGATTTTGCTGGTGTTTGGACTAAAGCTGCTTTCGTTTGAAGAGGGGTGCAGAGCAATGTTGTGCTGATTCCAGCCAATAAGTGGCATTGCCCGGTCTGCAATGGGTGTAAAACTGCCACTTGAAACTTGCTTGACATGCATTCCAGATGAGCACTTTGCACTGGTAGTTTAGAACATTATAGTTGGCGCTGGCGGGCACAAGCTATACTTGTTTGCATAGGATTGGCTAACACGAGGTTTCGTTCGCATGACTATTAAACCTGATGCCAATATGACTTTGCCAGTGCTCGACCCCGAACATATTTTTGTGTCTGGTTCCGAAACCGACCAAGTTTCAGCTTCGAAGCTTTTGACCGATTTGATCCGGACTCTATTAGTTTGCATCTTCTCAGCCGGATGACAAAGAAGGGCTCGAAGCTGGCAAAATGGCCTCCAAGTCACAGGCGCGGCACGAAGTCACTCAGCATGCTTGCAATTTGGACAGCACTCGAGCCTCATGCAAATTGGATGCGATGAATTGGCTCAGCTTTTCTATGAAGCTTTTTTAAGCGTGAAGTCCATGTCACTTGATGTCACTTGAGAGTTTCTCACGTCCGTGTCACTCTCAGGGCCTCCCGCGCATGGCGCTGCCTGTGGGCGTGGGTGCGATTCCCGGAAATTCCTTGGGCCGGCCTTGCGCAAGCCATGGGAGGCATTCAGAGAGAGTTCAAGACCAAGGCCTGATGTCAGCAGCCTCACTGGGGTGGCGAGCTTAGAAAAAGCTCATTTTAGGACACGCAGTTGGGCGTTATGGCTTCAGCTTTCTGAGGTTTTGCAGTCCGTCTACGTTGATGCCTATCAGTGCTGCCTCGCGTGATGGGCTCTCATCTGGTAAACCTATCCCAGGCTGAGACAGCACTACTTGTGCCACGTCACAAACACGAACTGCAAACAGGCTGAGACAGCTGAGACAAGCTTAAACCAATTGAGGAGCATGCAGAAGTGCGGCAGCAGTGGTCATCGGCGCATCAATGGCCGTTGCTTCTTTCAAGGCGGGCACTGCAGTGGCAGCTTTTCCAACAAACCATATTCTCTTACGCGCTCCTGCAAACAACTCCAACTGCTCCAACCGAACAGTTTTGCAAGGGCAAGTTGGTGTGCGCCGTCATACAGGTGCGACCGTGCAAAGCACGATCCTTGAGAGGACCCGATCACCAGTGACAGCACAACCAGCTCTCGGGTGTTTTTTGGGTCGGATTGTGTCTCGCCCGGTGCTACGATGGAGAGAGCCGTAGTGAAGAGAGCCAGCACGGGCTGGGGGTTGGTACTTGGGTAAGTTCCCTGATAAGTCACGCCGGAGCATTGAACGTTCTGGCATACATCACTCGCAAGGAGTTTGCTGCAAAGCCTTCGAGGACGAGTTGGGTGTGCCATTCCCAGTCTGATGGCTTCTCTGCCACTGAATCACAATTGATATTAGCTGAGAACCATCATTGATACAAGCCAGGCATCAGCCATCAATGCGTGGCCACATTTTCTGAATCTGGTGGTATTAGCAAGGGACCACTTTCTCCAATCTGCGGCTGAGTTTTGTTCCAGACGAGCTGGAGAGATCTAGGAAGGCAAATCACAACAGCACGCAACAACGCAGACTGGATTACAATGACAGGATTTGAAGCATGACCTAGCCGACAAGTGCTGCTAGGTGCAGCCCCCCCTGGGCTATTTCGACCCACTGGGCCTCAGCAAAGATGGTGATTTTGCAGAGTCAGGCTCTTAGCAACGCAATGTATGCTTGTACACATGCGTGAACAATACAGTGAGAACGCAACAGCCCCTTCTGTGAGATGTCATGCAATATATCCGTTTGGTAGGTTCTATCGACGGCGAGAGGCGGAGATCAAGAATGGCAGAGTAGCCATGTATGCTACCATAGGCGAGTCTTTGCTGTAGCTGGAGTTGCATATTCATGGTTTGTTTTTTTCCCGCTTGGCTTTGTCATACTGAATTCCACTTTGATCTCATTGGTGTAGGTGCAGTGAAAAGTGCGCCCCAGCAAGAACAGGCTACATCATTCCGGAGTACTTCAGATGGCCTGGTTACTTGTCACCCACGGAGGAGAATGGGAGCAAAGAAACTTCACGATAATCAGAACTGGCGCAAATCGGCATCACCTTCGTGTGCTGAGATGTGCTACGTGTAGGACCTGACCTTCGCTGATTGTCCCAACGGCTTGCAAGCTTTGCTGAAGGCAGGACACTTTGGCCAGTTTTGCTGAGCCAGCTGTGAGAAGTTGGTGAGCAAAGCTCTACTGGAGGTACCTCCTGAGGGATGGCTGCAAATTCTTGCCCCGCTCTCAACTGGCACCTGATTTGATGTGGCGGGCACTTCACAAGGGCAAATGAAGCACGCTTGAAAATCAATCCACACCTCGTGCTCCACATTTTTTTCCTCCTTGCCTGCTTTTGGTTCAGCAGGACACACACTCGCGATGCTGTTTTGCGGCAATACCAACACATGCCAGCATCCAGACAGCAACGCAACATATCAATGTTGCTTAGAGCAGTCTCAATACGTTGTTGAGATACTTTTGGCAAGATCGTTATGCATGATTTTGCACGCGTGGATGCATTTCGCCGAGCAGCTGAATGTGGGCAACTTGACCAAAGCCGTTTCCACTTCTGCTGTGCCTGCTGTAGCCCATGGCGCTGTCAGACTATGGCCTTGCGACGCTGCGCTTTGTGTACACTTCAAAGCTCCGGAAAGAGTCTCTTAATGAATGTGACTAACACTATGTTTCTTTCATTCTTCTCAAACTATCTTTATTGAGAGCTACTGTTTGCCTTGTCACTTCCTTGTCGCTATTTGCTTGCTTGTGTCGTGTCAAGGTTGCAGTACACTATTAGCAATTTGCGCCACACCCTGCAATGGTCCCAAGAAGCCTGGCCCATTCCGCAGCGCCTTCCGCGTCGTGCCTGGCGAGTGACCTATCTAAAGAGACCATTTCGAGTCAAAACTACAGTGCGCGGGACACTCAGAGAGGGGGAGAGAGAGAGAGAGACAGAGGGGGAGAGAGAGAGAGAGAGAGAGAGAGAGAGAGAGAGAGAAAGAGAGCAAGTGTTTGCATCAGCATGAAAGTCCCTTAGGCAGCAGCTTGGGTCTGACACTCCAAGTAGGTGAGACTACACCAGCAAAAGGTCCAGCTGATATGTATGAGGTCACTATGTATTCCACGATTTTCGATATCAGTTCACCTTCCGAGATGTGAAGGACGGCAAACTTGCGGTGGTCAACAACCCTGCCACGAAATCATCGAATCCTTCACATGTTTGCAGCTGTCCGCTTATCACACATTTTTGCACAAGACTAGGATTCTGTGTTGGGGTCTGGATGCTTCGTTTTGAGCCAGCAGTATGCTCAGTTCTGACTTGCCGATCCTTGGCTGTATTGGAGGACGTGCCTGCAGCTGTCAGCACGGTATTGGGATCAATGACGCCGGAAACCTCCTGCGTGTGTCACTTTAATTGGCATTACCATGGCGCAGCTTGGAATGAATTCAGAAGCAGAGTACTGTAGGCTTCACAACTTCAGCTGTTGCATTTTCATGACACTTTCCAGGAAACCCGGCTTTGCTTCGTGGGCCAAGCTCCCACATACAGCCGATGCACAGCCTGTACATTGCCTCTTCATCCCACATCCTATGTACTCAGCACATTCCCCGCCACGCCCAGATACAATTGTCAGGCCGTTGAATATTTTAACTAAAAACAAGGAACTACTTAAGTGCACCACTGGTGGGTATCTAATGTACACGTGTGTGTGTCATTTGAATCCTGTTTGATACACAACATGGCGTGAGATCCACACTGGCCGAACAGTTGAGGCTCCAGGCTACAACATGCTCATGACGGGCGACTTGCAAGAGGCGCGGCCTGAGCAAAACTTGATTCAGGGCTCAGAGCAGCACAACCAGTCAAGAATTGAACCACCACCCCCCCCCCCCAAGGCTCCCCCCAAATACACAGACAGACACTCAGACAGACAAGCAGACAGAGAGAGACACAGAGACAGAGAAAGAGGCTGTTTGTCTCGGTCTTTGTCTCTGTCCGTCTTGTCTTTGTTTCTATTTCTATCTTCACACAGACACACAGAGGGACACACGGACACACAGACACACAGACACACAGACATACAGACACACAGACACAAAGACACACCGACACACAGACACACAGACACACAGACACACAGACACACAGACACACAGACACACAGACACACAGACACGCAGACACGCAGACACACAGACACACAGAAACACAGACACACAGACACACAGACACACAGACACACAGACACACAGACACACAGACACACAGACACACACACACACAAAGACACTCACAGACAGACACACACACACAGACATGCTTCGCACAGAAACACATACACAAAGACACACACACACACACAGACACACAGACACATAGACACACACACACACACACAGACACGCACGCACGCACGCACGCACGCACGCACGCACGCACGCACGCACGCACGCACGCACGCACGCACGCACGCACGCACACACACACACACACACTTGTGGTAATCCCCCCTCTTTGATTTATGCTTCGGCTCCCCTATGCGTGTGCTCGTGGCTTGTTGATCTAGTTACAGTCGAGGGTACAGGATCATAAGCCGCAATGGCTAAACGGGAAAATGGTGAGACATCGGAGTAATGAAACTGAATTAATCGGAGCAAGGTTTGTAGCAAAGGGGCTCTAAACGCAAACAGCGCCAAAAAGTTCAAATGGGACAGCAAGCTGCGTCAACTGCGCCCATGCCTGTCCGTGACAGGCAGGTACGTTTTCACCCCGGCTCAGGGGCGTCTTCGTTGGCCAGAGTCCCCTGAGCCGGGCTCTGGCCCCCTGCGTGTCATGCTTCGTCTGATTGGAAAAATTGCGCAGGCTAGCTAATCTACCCGTTTGCCCCAGATTGGGCATTGGTCTGGCGCGTGAAAAGCGCTAGTTCAAATGGTAAATGCGCCTGGCGCATTAAGCAACCTGGTGCAGCCATTCCAGACCGCTGCGGCAAAAAACACGAGAGGCCCTTAGTGACAGGGTTGGACACACACAGCCAGCCCAACGGGCGACTCTGCACGTTAAAGCGCAATAACAGAAAAGCCTTTGATGACTAGGTACCAACACAGGCATCTGGCTCTTCGGGCAAGAGCTCGCGAGCTCAGGGAACCGGCGTGGGGATCAGGGGCGAGAGGTATAGCATCCCTCTTTGTTGGATGAAACTGCGGTGAACACCAAAGCCGCCAATTGTTCGGTGGGAGGGTTCCTTCAAAAGGTAGCCGGAAAAAACCAAAAAGAGAGAGAGAGGGACCGTGTTGTCGGTCCTCAAATATATGGGGCATATGCAACTCAGATCATGGTTCGCCGAGGCAAAGTACATCCGAAACCGCTGAAAAATCCGAGTGCTCGGCACGGAAGCGTTCAACACTGCAAAGGTCTTTGCGCTCCACGGAAACTCCGGCAGGGAATCCAATCACGCCCAGGAATTCCTTCCTCACCTAGTCCCCTGGCCATTGCGGCGTCCAAGGCCAGACCAAGCCCCAAGAAAACCAAGAAGCCCGAGAGGGACCCAACCACACCCAGGGATTCCTTCCTGTGCCCTGCCCCCCAAGCCATTGCGGCGAACAACCACGTGCGGCTGGAGGGAGGCAGGCCAGGCAAAAACAAAGGAAAACCCCAAGAAAACCAAAGAAAGAAAACAAAGAAGCCCAGCGACACGCAGGGATTCCTTCCTGTGCCCTACCCCCCTGGCCAATGCGGCGTGTAACCACGTGCGGCTGGAGGGAGGCAGGCCAGGCCAAACAAAGGAACGCCCCAAGAAAACCAAGAAAACCAAGAAACACAGGCGGGGAATCCACCCAGGGATTCCTTCCTGTGCCCTGCCCCCCTGGCCATCGCGGCGTATGACCACGTGCAGCCGGAGGGGAGGCAGGCCAGGCTAAACCCAGAACCACCCCCACGAAACCCAACCACACTCCGAGATTGCGTGACGTCTCGCCAACCTGGGTGGCCTGAAGGCTCAAACGGTCTGGAATTTGCGACTTCTGAGATTAAAGGCACAGGAGACCAAAAGCTTGGATTCGAGCCGACAGCAGAACAAAAAAGCAAACGTGGTAGTGCCCATGCTGTACAGCGAACATGGCACGATGGCACGTGGTCACAAAATTGACTACGATCAGAACATCACACCGACGTACAGGGCATTTTTTGCAACGCTGTCAAGATGCTTATCATGCGAACATGCCGGAACGGATTAAAAGGTCAGGTGCAATAGCTGATGCGACAAGGCCATGCCATGCAACACCCCGAATCACGAATCTGAATTATTCGCCGCTGGATATCAGCGACCAAGGATTAGTCAGGATTGTATGGCAACTGATGGGCGCAGTGGCTGGGGCAACCACTTGGTGCCCCAGTTGTCTGAGTGATCTTGCACTAGGAACACTCCGTCGATGGCAGCCAAATCGCTGCGCACACACCATCGTTTGTCTTTGCTGCCACTACGCACTGCGGGGTAAGAATAGGCAAGAGCTTGTTCCTTCCAGGTATCCCCTCGGTTGAACTTGTAATGAGTGCCGGACACAGTCCCCGTTACTCCCACATTGGTGGTGTTTTTGGGGTGCTCCGAGCACGCAAGCAAAAAGTCAAGGATACTCCGCTCATGGTAGCACTCGGTCGAAACTCTACAGAAAAAACCTAATGGGCATTTCCTGCCGACCTGGGACTCATTTTCAGAGTCAAGCGCTAAGGTTTCAGCCGAAGTTGGCATGATGATGCCGGTGCGAAATATCCCGGCTAGGCCTAGCTGACAAGAAAAATGAACAAACCGCATGGAATACTCGCCAGCTACACGGTCTTGATTGACTCCGGGAAAAGCTTGGGACGGGTACAGCCAAACAGCGGTGCCGGTAGTGGCTGTAGCTGCTACCGCACGCTGGTTAAAAATCTGGGTGTACGGCATTTCCGAAGCAATGATCGCGCTGGCCAAAACATGCACGGTTGAGATCGGAACACCATTGACCGGGTCCTCTGGTGCTACGGGCGCCAAAACTAAAAGGTGCCGAACGCATTGTTCCACACTTGACGGCGGGACACGGCTGAAAGGTGTCACATTAGCTTGAACCCAGGCCTTTCGGCGCTGGTGTTCCACGACGTCTTGAATCGTCAACGGGAACAGCCAGTGCGGGGAGAGCATGTTATCTGCCTGTCGTCGAAGAATGCGTTGAAGCCAGTCTTGGACTGTCTGATCAACGAACGTCTGGCCAGGCACAATGAGACCACTCGCGGTGAATTCCGACTCCCGATTTTCAACTGAGGTTCGAACAACGAGGTTTGCATCAGGTTTTGACCCTGCTGCCTCGGGATGTTTCGGAGTAGTGTCCTTCTCAAGGACCGGTGTACCAGGGCGGAATTCGTCAGAAGACCAGGCTTCATGTCGCGTGACCCGCTTGGCAGGCTGCGCGCAGGAAACGGGCTGCCGGTTTTGAGCAGCCGTCTTTCTTTCGGGTGTGCGCGGTCTCTTATCATTTGCAGTGACTAGCGGGGTTGCTCTATGTGGAGCATGGTGGTAAAGAGGTCCGTAGCCTAGGGCACTAGTCTTGGAACCAGATGCCGGAGGCTGAGCCGGTCGGTTTTTGAAAAAAATCGACTGAGGCGGCTGACCCCTGCTAGTAAGCCATGGCGTGTGAGATTGGATCGGCGCGGGATGTGGTCGCTGTGGGACATCAAACCGCCCGGGAGGAAATGCAAGTAAATCATTTCGCGCTGCAGCTTGATGAGGGGTCGCAGGGTGCCCAGGGTGCCTAGGGTGCACAGGGTGCCCAGGGGGTTCCGGGGTGTTTGGCGGCAGCGTTGGTTGGCGAGGGCAGGCTTCGACTCCGACACCTGCCTTGCCTGGAACGCTTTCTGTGGCGCTTGGCGTGGCGATCGTCACGCCGACCCCTACCCCTGCGCTCGCGAGAGGTTCGATCTCTGTGCTTGCGCACTTGATTCCGGGAACGGGAACGTCGACGGGATCGTGATTTGTCCCGTTGACGAGTCTGCGGTCTGTCCTGACGAGCGTCAGGTTGAGACTGCTGCTCGGGGGGGTCAAAAAATCCTGGCGGCGCTTCCACGACACGGTGGGAAGGCCTATTCGGATCGGGCGCGTGCACGGTAAGAAGGCTTGGCTCGTGGCATGCAGGACGAATTAGTGACCACTGCTGAGCTGGCGAGGAATTCGCTGTAGCTCTGCTATCTGCAAAGAACTGAAACACATAGGTTGTCATGGCGGGATTCCGTGTGCTTAGATACACGGCCTAGGAACACCAGGTCTCGGGCCAAAAGACTCCAGAGAGCAAAAGATCAGAGAGGCAAGAGGTCTCCAGATTATGTTGGCACGGAACGGAATGCGCAGGTGTGAAACCAAGTTCATCAGAAATATATGGTTGCCTTTCAACGATGCCGGCGCAGAATTGTTCTCGACACAGACCTCGCCTAATTCACGCGAAGCACTGGTTTGGTCGGCATGTTGCAAGCATCTGGTTAAAGCAAAAGAGCGGACGGATACCCCTTGTCTATATACAGTTGACGGAGCGCATGCAACTGGGAAGCCTTGGCTGCTGGCGGCCAGGCATATGTGCGAATTAATGCTTTTCGGGAGTTGTAGCTACTAAGCATAAGTCTCCAAGACCCGGCGCTCTGCGGATGTTTGATCATCCACGGCTTATCCGGCAAAACGAACATGGCTGAGCGATCATGGGCACAAATCTGGAATCCAAGCCATTTGTGATCCTGCACGGATTCAAGTTCTATAGACCCTCCATAAAAGGACGGCTGCACAAATTCTTTCATGACAGGG